TGGTAGCCTATCCATAGAGGGACCGTATCAAAGACATAGATAACTACCTGTATAAATGATTGAAAATTTTCGAGACGTTCCGAGAATCTTGGTTCCGAGGATATCAATATATAAGTGTGAACCCCTCAGGGGTTCACGCAAAAAAATATCAATATTTCGGACATAAGGGGGATATCCCAAAACCACTTGGTCATGCCGTTTTTTTCCCTTAGTTCTCAAATGGAAGCAGTATTATAAAAAAGTCGTGAAGAATTCCACAGAACTCTGCGTCTCGCCTGAGATTGCTGCTGTCATTGTAAAAGTGTAATGTTGAGTGTAAAACGTCCATTTATCAGTAAAAAACAAAATTAAAAAAAAAAATTATGTACGTGCTTTATCTGGATATAGAAGATTAACTCCTATACAAGTTTTATAACAATTCATGGAGGTAAACAGATATATCATGACAAAATAGTTAAATTTGGTAATATTTAATGCAATTAAAACTTATATAAAAATAAGAAGATGTGGTATGATTGCCAATGAGACAACTCTCCACCACATACCAAATAACGTAGCAGTTAACAACTATATGTCACTGTATGGTCTTCAACGATGAGCAAAACCCATACCGCATAGTAAGCTATAACAGGTCCAGAAATGACAAATGTAAAAACAAATCAAACGAGTAACCTAACGATCTAAATGATGAAGACGCCGACGACGGAATATAGGTTTGTTGTGTCTCACTTCCGCGACATTAATATCGCAGGCTGGACACACATCAAATGACTTTAACTTTATTGTCAACAAATGAGTCACTTTAAATCAACTCACACTAAAGTTACAGGATAATGGGGGAATCGGACTAAGCGACAAAGTATCAATTCTATAAAATAAGAATTCTCCGATTTTTTTTAGTGTGTATTATCATTTGAACATATACGACTATCAATCTTTTAATATATATTTTTATAAATTCCATTCTCTAATGAACCTTGCACTAAACTGAAAAAAAAACTTTTTGGAATATCTGTTTAACAGGTGACGACGGATATGTTCCAGTTGTCGTAACCATAATCCCGTCCTCTTTTCGTCGAAAGTGACCTACCGATTTTGATGGATTTATATTGCCCAGTCATACCGATCTATAGAGTTAAGCCAATTGCATCTGATTTTTACAGTTTATTCTTGTGTTGTGCTGTTACACTATTCACCCATGGTAGGGTTAGGGTTTAGCGCTCACAGACATGTTTAACTCCGCTACGTGCACATTCTTTATATGCCTGTCCCAAGTCAGGAGCCTGTAGTTGTCGTTGTGTCATGTGTGTCATATTTGTTTTTCGTAAGTTATTTAGTTATTAGTTACGGGTGCCTATAATTGCTTACACGCACTGCATTAAAACTCTGGTGAATAGTTGTCTCATTGGAAATCACACCACATCTAACTTTATTTCGATTTCTATGTGGTGTTTTGTATACTGTAACATTGTTTATCTTTTGTACGCATACCCCTTAACCTTTTTTTTGGAAGCCCGAGCAAAAGCCCTTGATCCGCGATAGAAAAATTAAATACGAACTCATATTAGATAGCTCCAATTTCAACTCCAAATCTAAATCTAATGAGACGCAAATTCGAAGTATTACTCGAACTCTACCTCAAAAGATAACTCAAACACGAAGTTCAACTCGAAATTCAATGCTTACTCGAACTTCCAATTCTAATTATGAAATGAATTCTATCTCGAAATAAAAAATTACTCGAATTTAAATAAAAAACTAACTCGAAGTTTAATTCGAACAGTAACCCGAACTTTTATTTGAACTTTAAGTCGATGGATTGCCACACTCATCCGAGGCAAATAAAACATGGGAAATTGGTTTTAAAAATAGAACTAGTTTTTTCACAAATAGTCACGTGGTTTTACCTCATCAAGTAATGTGATAACCACATCAAAGAATGACAGAACCACATCAAATACAGGAACGAACACATCATGTAGTGTAAAATCGTCAAATTTTGAAACATCATTATGTAATTTTAAAGCCCTATAAGGAATTGGCAAATCATCATTACGAAATAACAAAACCACATCATGTAATGTAATAAACTACATTACGTTAAGCCACATACACATCAAGTAATGTTAAAACCACATTGCCTAATAACACAACCACATTAAATAATGATGAAACTACATCGAGTAATGACAAAACCATTCCAAGTCCATACGAAACCATATCATGTAATATCGAAATATCATTAAGTAATGACTATTCCATATTGAGTAATATCAAAACATCATGACGTAATGTCAAATCCATATTATGTAAAGACAAAATATCATCAAATAATAATATTACAACATAAAGTAATATCAGAGTACCACATAAGACAGCCGTGGCGTTCCATAATAAACCAATCAGCATCAAGTAATAACACAATGTGTTATCAAGATTTTACTACATGTATTCAGTATTGTTGTGAGATAACATCATTTGAAACACAAAATTAAATAAGTTTCTATAGTATTAATTTTGTTTGATGCTTTAAAAATTAATATTATCTAACTTACTTTTCCAACTCTTGTTTGTGTGATAAATTTTCTACGTCCAATTTGTGTTCCGAAAAATTAGAAAATTAAATGAAAAAATAATAATAATTCAATGTGACTGGAAAAGATGTGGTTATACTGTGGATTAATTCATTTTCGTGTGTACCAATTTTCGTGGATTGGAGAAAACTTTCATTTTCATGGGTATTTGTTTTTTCATGGTTTTGTCTCCAAGCTTTGAAGAAAATTTATAATTCCTTGAACGTTTAAATTTGTGGTACCTACAAAATCCACAAAACATTGGTACAAAAGGAATAATATGAATCCACTGTATATTTCAACGACACAGTAAATCAACAACACAACAAAACAAATCTAAAAATTTAAGCCTATCTCTCTTATTTTCTTAACAAAACCAATTCACAAGTAAAATAAAGGTCAAGGTCAACTCATTTAGAGTGGACCTTTGTCTTTAAAAATGATGCCTTAATTGAAAAAAGATCATTCCTCTATGATCTATAGTTGCTTAGATCTGGAAATTAACACAATACTTGAACCATGGCCCTTCATGTGATAAAAACTTTTAGTTCCTAATGATTCAGAAGATGTATGTCGCCTTCTATCTACAAATAATATAAACATAAATGGCTAAGTCCTTGTTTTGGAATGGGAAACCATAAAAATCGTTTAAAAATAGTAACTGCAAAACTTCCTGTAGTAAAATCTGTGCAATGTAGAGGAATTCCGACAAACTGTTTTCAAGGATTTGGGAAGTGATCTGGCCATCCAAGTTTAGTATAAAGGATACAACTTGTGATTGTTGTGTACAAGTTGAACAGGTACTGGTAAATAAAAATTATTAATGACATAGGACGAACACTTATATGGTTGAACTTAAAATACATAACACAGTGACTTTGCACCTGCATGAATCAAATTTAATAATTTACTAAAACACTGCTTTGGGCCGTTTTTATGAATTGGATTGGGCTACAATCCCTATAATATTGTGTCTACAGACAGATGGCTTATACTATAATATGACTTAGTATATATATAAAACCACTGAAAGAATTCATATTTGCTTTAGCTTCCAATGTTTTTTTCTTTTACCTAATTGTATTCTGTCTTTTTCATTTTTTAGTTTCATGTCAGTCATTTCTTGTTCTTGTTCTTCCTTTTCATACTGTAAAATAATAATGTCCAAATGTTTGAAGGCGATTAAAATGGAAAGAATATTAATGTTTTGCACTTTGTTAGAACAACCGTTTCACATTTTAATTTGTCTGTCCAATGACAATAGCACACCCTGTCAATAGTTGCCTTTAGTCATATCTTTACGTGAGTGTCAATCAGGGAACTTCTTGTTGATGGCAGAACTTTCATAGTCTCTGTAAACAAATTTAAAAACTTTTGTTGAATTGGTTCAATTAAATGTCTCTTTGACATAACACTCAACATAATCTTGTCTCTTTGACATGCACTCAACATCATCTTGTCTCTTCGACATACACTCAACATCATCTTGTCTCTTTGATTGGGATTGTTTTGGGCATTATTTGACCTAAACATATCCAAAATCAGATGATAAAAAGCATGTTTTAAAATAAAATTTCATTCCATACATGATATAAAAACATACATGTTGAAGGGTAAATACAGATCTCACTGCCGAAAATCTATTAAAGATTTGCCTTAAACCTCACCATATTACTTTTTTCAACCTCATTAGGCAAATGTATTCATGTTTTTTATTCGTACAACTATTTTTGGATTAGTCCTGGTTTTGACAGCACTATCATGAAGTTTCTGTAATTTGTCATGTGTATGGAATCCTTGATAGACAACTTTATAGAGATCTCATATCCAATCTGTTAACTACGGTCTAACCAATGTGGGTAGTTAGAAAGATCATTTAATGCTGAAGACTTTTCCACGAATTCTATATACCTAAAAAAACATATAACATACAAATATAAAACCACTTGAATATTTAGACATTCAGAGATGAATAAGTGTTTTTTTAAATTTTTTTTAGGTATTACCATAATAATATTGCGATTATTGTCAAGAGTAGAATAATCAATTAAAAAGATGAAATAAAGCATTCATGATTTTGTTAAAATAATATGTTGCCAAGGCAACATTGAATAGCATTATACTCTATAAAAGTATCTAGTATAGTTATATGATCTTGTATTTGTAGTGCTAATATCTTGCATATGTTTTTTTTAGCATATGACAAAAAACTGTTCAAACTGGCATATAAGAAGTATATTCCCTAATGTATTTATTAATATATATATATATAAAAAAATAATACGGATTAATAAAAAAATATTGGAAAGTACAATTGATAACAGCAACCACAAACATCTCGAATCCTGAAGAAGTTAAATGATTGTGTTTTTCTATTTCATAACTTTTTGTCATTTTTATTCCACTAAGTTCTTACTTACGTGTATTTAGAAGCATAAGCTATAATATCTGCACAGACACAGCTGTAATGAAAACAAATGTATATGTTTCAGAATTTTCATAATGTAGACCTACGCTTGCACAGCATATTACAATTTTGATTATCAATAATTGGGGAGTTAACTAAGAATATATCAACAGTGATTGTAGATGCAGTAATGTTCTTGACAATGCACAATACTGGTCATGTAGTATTCTGGAAACAGCCCTAATAATGTACCAAAAATAGCAGGTGCTCGGTCAAGTCCAACTGAAAAACACATGCAGTGAATTTCCCCAAGCACTGAGCATTCATTATTATTTGTGGGATATCGATGCCAATTTTTGGTAAAGTACATTTTTGTCTATAGGCTGGTATGCAGACTTTAGCAAAATCATGAAATCAATATAAAACAAAATACAATTTTTCATCAATCCATGAAAATTGGTATCCTGTAAAGAAATGAATCCACAGTATTCCACGTAAATCCTTTAGTATAGACTAACACTTTTTTCTATGTGAAGATAGTACTCAGAATAGGTTTACATCCCAGTTTGAAACATGATACTATAGATAAAAGATATACATCTTATAAAAAAAATGAAATATTTGAGTTTTAGTCTCCTTAATTTTCAGAAAGGGTAAGAGCTACAGCAAGTATGTTGAACAAGTACATGATAGAAATCTTTCTTGGAAATTCTATAAAACTAAATTCTCAATTCTAAATAAGACTTTTATAAAATTTCAAAGACAGTTGTATATCATGACTAATAGATACTTTATAAAATCTGAAAATGAATCTTTCAAGGGGTTTAACTGTTATGCTGTTTTGGGGCAATTTAATTCTTTGTTATCTCTTAAATATATTTGCTGTTAGCTGTTAGTCTTATTCCTTGTAAGCTTTTATAGGACTATATTTTTCTTTGTTATCTGTTATTGTGAGAATGTATTTGCTGTTAACAGTTATTGAAAATTGGAATGTTAACATTTTGACAGCCAATCTTTGGTAGAAATTGAAAATCACTGAACATTGGGGTCTTACCACTGGTAATATGGTGTTCCCTTATTCGGAGTAACATACACACCACATATCACATAAAAATACGTTTTTTTCCTCTTTCTTATTGATCCTTACCAAGTGTAATACCACCAAATCGTAGCATGTCACATCTGCTTTCATACGAAAAAGGGTCGAAAAAATTATTTCCTTGAATTTGACGGTTGTAGGAAGTTAACCCTGGATTTCATTGCAGAAAAAAATTATGAGTCATAAACAGATAGCTTGGGTGCTTCAAAGTACCATTCTTTTTTCATTTGGTGTATCTATAAAATATTTGGGAAACTTGAGGTAACATGGTTAATAAAGCTTGTACACAGGAAAAAAAAGGGGTGAACATTTGATTGGTTAACTTCCAGTGATGGTTATTATCCTATATGCAGTGAAATGTGATGTGAAATTTTGTCTGGACAGGAAAAAACTTTACCCATGCCAAGTATTTCTTTATTTGAAACAAAGATAAATTCCGAACATTTTTTTGAAAAGTACCAATTTAACAGGGACTAATAGGGGAATATCAATGGTGGTATTACTCCTAAATAGGGAAGCTGTACATGCACCAATGACCTTATTTATATGTACTTTCATTTTGTTTTTAATTTCATACTATTTCACTGTAATGTTGCAACCATAAAATACTGGATTGAGTCACAAAAACATATTTGAAGGACAATTGCCTGGAAATAGGGCTCTACCTTGAATATAGGTAGATAGAGTCACCAAGTCACATTCAGAGTTTTTTGGAGCTTTTTCTAACTTTTTCTCTTCATTCCCTATTTTGATATATAAAAGAAAACTTCTCTCTCAGTAATTCCGTAAGAAATATACAGTAATAAGTAAATGAAATGTTTTTTAAAGCAATAACAACAAAAAGTAAAATCACAAAAATACTGAACTCCGAGGAAAATTCAATCGGAAAGTCCCTAATCACATGGCAAAATCAAATGACAAAACACATCAAACGAATGGACAACAACTGTCATATTCCTGACTTGGTACAGGCATTTTCAAATGTAGAAAATGGTGGATTGAACCTGGTTTTATAGCGCTAAACCTCTCACTTGTACGACAGTCTTATCAAATTTCGTTATATTTACAACGATGCGTGAACAAAACAGACATTATAAATAAAATAGTCAAAATATGGGTACAGCAGTCATCACTGTGTTACAATATCAAAACAAACAATTATTTACAAAAAAAGCACAAAAGCATTTATCAAATTAAGACCCACATTCATTGCTTCGCGTGTCTGACGTCAGAAAATGTAAACGTCACATAAGAAAAAAGTTTGTCATTCAATGTCTATTCAAAACAATTTTATAATTTCACATGGGGAATGTTGGTATACAGGGTTAAAAAATCAAAAGTTATGTTAGAATTAATTTCAGAAATAGACCGAGATTTATAATTGTCCAGAAGTTCTTCAGAACCCTTAAGAATCCACATATGGTAAATACCACTACGCGAGTAAAATAAATTTGTCGTTTGTCGTTCAAAGTATTTTCAAATTTATAATAGAACAATAACATAATGACATATAATAGAACAATAACATAATGACGGGATCTTTTAAAGTACAGAGTCACGTTATAAGAACCACAGAAACACAAAAAGTCGCATATACAAAACACACCAGTAAAAATTATTTAGCAAAAGGGAACCATTATATGTCCCTCTCTTGAACGCGGCGTAAACTTCAGTTTTACGTAAGGACTTATTGAAACCTCCATGGAGTCAGTAAACTTTTATGTGGATATTTCATTTAGCTTGAACACTTCAATTACTTATTTAATATCACATTTCTTACATAAATGTGTAATAGTTACCCAAAAATTTTAATTTATTAGCCTAAAAAGTTAAAATTTTGAGGTAATGAGAGGTATAAATGGACCAAGAGGGACCTTATATGGAAGGCTTGGAGGTTCATTAGTGTTGTTTATCATTTTAGAGTCCTCTTTTGTATCATATTCAACTATTTTTATGCAGATGAGATGAATATTTGATCATTTATTGGTGAATTTATTGGTCCACACTATATTCTATCATGATGAGGCGTTATTTGGATTTTTCGAGGAAATTTTCCTCAAATCGGTGAAGATGTCGTCTTACATTATACTGAATTTCTCTCAAACTATTGAACTGATTATGACAAAACTTGACAGTAATGCTTGAAGTAACCAGTATTTCACAGAAAAATAATCACATTCAGTTTATTTTACAAAAAAAGGTCTTCTTTACTATGGATGTGCCAGAATAAAGTGAGGTGACAAACCCAGATGATAGCATTATAGAATGATTAATAACATTATGAGCCCTGACATGGCCTCTATCAGTACTCCTCTTCAAAACCTTTTTTAGATACCAAAATTGTCAAAGTGTATGCTGTTTCAATGCACAATGATGGTACAGCCTTGAAACCAGGTATTGAATTTGATGAACAACAACATGTAAATGTAGTCCTCGTCAACAGAGTAGATATTCAGTATGTAAAGTATCTTACACCTGATCCTGAATGGTTGAAAAGCAATGTTATACTAGTAAGTGAGGCCAATATTACCTATTTTGACAAATGTTGATAATTCTGTAAGCTTTCCTGTTTCAGTGATGTATGTACCAAAGACTGGAAAAACTGGCCATGCGACGAAGGCCCAATTTCTGTCAGAAATATATGTTTATCAAACGTGTCAGCCCTGTATAGAACGAACACTGTCCAAAGAACATGTTATTGATTTTCATTTACTGTTTTTATCCTTTTCAATTCCTTATTATCTGTTTTAATCCAAATCAATTTGCTGTTTTGCTGTTGTTGGAACCCCCCCCCCCCCTCCCCTTTTGCCCCCTTTTGCCCCCTACAGATATGTCTCCCCTGTATGTTATTCTGATATTAAATTGCAAATGTTGATATTAAAATCAATACTTTTTAAAACATGCATAAAAATTCAACTCAATATATTCTGGAGAGACATTATTTTTTTTACAGATAAGTGCAGTATTGATAAAATTTTCTATTCTGAAGGGTCATGTTCAACAAATGTTTGATTGGCAATATCAACAAATAAGAGAGTTCTCCATTTTCTTCCTAGTTTTTAATTTCTTTACCATTTTATCTATATCTTTGAGTTCATAAAACACCATTAACTTGACTCTGATAGCAGCATCATCTGCTGTTCTCACTTCATCAACCTTTAAAATAACAAACCAATATCAATTAAATATCAAACACTGTTTTGACAAAAGTGGAATTGGGACAATATTCAGTATCTTCATTTTGAGCAAATATATAAAAAAAAAACAAATACAGAAAAAGTTAACAAAAGCATTGACTGACAATATAAAAGTATGTTTATTTGAAAATATTTCAGTCATTACTCTAATAACATTTTTTCAGAGTAGAGATTTTTCAATACATTTTTGTACTAACAGACTTCACATTCATTTAATTTTTATAGTAACTATTAAAAGCAAGGTATATGCAATGAAACTGTGTCCTTCCTAAATAATATAAACGACCAAAATCATACCAATTTTCTTGATGTTTTTTATCCTTATATATTCTAATTTGCAAAAAATTCACAATTTCAATTTTTGTATACATTCAAAAAGGATTAAAAGAAAACTTTTGCTGTTTCTCACATTATAATAAAACTGATCTGGAATAATTTTCAGTCTTGAGAATCTGTTACTGTTTTGTATCATACTGGTTTTGTTGTCTGAATCTACTCCATGCCAGCAAAATTCCTGTAGCCTTAAAAAAACATTTCAATTATATTTCAGGATTGCTACAGGATATCCCCTGACCCCCTACCCTTACCCTGCAATTTTTGTAATCGCTTTTTTTCAAAGGGCATAATTTCCATAAAAATAATCAGTCCACACTAATTTTCCATTTGTTTGTGGTATTGCTGATGCAAATGTTTTAAACCTGTGACATAAATGTCATTAAACTCCAATAAGGAATGAACTTCCAAAGGGATAACAATGTTGATTTTCCATATTATCAACAATTCAAAGTAATTATCCACACAAAAATACTCGATCAACTCTAATTTTTGTACTCATCTGAAATACTGCTGATGATACCTTTGACCTGAACTAAACTGTAATGATAACTGAATACTGAATGGCCACATTTGCATTCTGAATGAGGTTTGGAATCAACCCGTTGTAGACCTGCATTTATTTTGCAATATTGTGTGAAGAATCTTTAATTTTCTATAGCAAATCAACTAATAAAAAAGGTGGTTGTATTAATTTGATTGTTATCTTTCTTACGACTATATTAATATTTTCAGAAGTCAGTATGTCGGAGTTTAGGAAATTCCATTTTACAATAGAAGAAAGGAAAGCGGAATATTTTGGTAATGTCTATTCTATATTTGGATACAACATATAATTATTACTGTTTCGTAAATTATAATCAGATATTTGACCAGCGAGTGGGAACATGAGTGGGAACATTATGATCTATGAGTTTGACTGTCCCTCTGGTATCTTTCGTCCCTCTTTTATTCAATCACAAGGGTAATCAGCGGCAGATTAATCATGTATGAAATAGAACATATGGAACAGGAAAATTATTACCCCCATTACTTCAATGCAATTTTATCCAAATTGAGGGGCAGATATTTTATTCCCTATATTAGACAGCAAAATTTCAATTACTTTCTCATACTAGTAGCCCTCTTCGTGGTTTCTGGGAGAATTTTTGGAAGGTCATGACCGGTATTTAAGAGAGCAATACTGTTTTCAGTATTAATAGGGTCATTTTATTAACTTCCTGGTTAAAATCGAAAATAAAATATGGACCATTTACTCAAACAATCATCCACCCTATACATTTCAGAATCACTTAAAATTTAACAGAAGTTGAAGGTTTAATGAATACCCTTTAGATATACTACAAATTTAAACATCTTTACATAATTTACATCAAGATATTATTGTCAATGCAGAATGATAGTTTTCAATAATTTAGGAGGGTTCTTTCAGCAAATTTACCATATGTTATTCAAAAGCATGATACATGCAGGGTATCCAATTCCATTTTACGACATCTTGGTGTAAATTTTATTTGTAGTGGTATTTTAACTGGTAAATACAAACGAGGTGACAAACGACCCTGCAAGTGGACGTATTTCTCATATAGTTAAAGACGAAAGCTAGGCCATGCAATCTGTCCGGCATGGAGTCAGTATGCTAATAATGAATCGTACTGGAGTCGTCTAAAAGTAATGGAAGAAATAGGAAAGACTCATGGTAATTTTAAGTTTAACAAACACATATGATCGTTTAGAGTTATGAAGTTTATTTTAGATGGAAATGGCACTAAAGTTAAAGACAAATGAACACAAGAAGAAAATCAACAATTTATATCGATGTCACTAAAAATAAATTCACAATTATCTATATAATTTAGTAATTTTTCCCAAATTTACTTCAGACTATTTCTATGAACAACATTTTCTAAAGATGTGTATACTTCAAGGTGACATAATCAGAGGCGGAATAAAGGGGGAGGGGCCGGGGCCCTTATGGAGCTTCACATATGATAAATGCATAGACTGTTTACAAGTATCACTCCAAACGTTGTATTGCCATTTCCACTTTTTCAAAATCCTGGATCTGCACCCGATAATAGCAATGATATATGATTGTGCTTTATTAGCTTATGAAAAAATAATAGTATCCGACTCTTTAATCGATTATTGCTTATAGACAGTTGTAATAAAGTTTGTCTATGTAACAAAGTTTAACAAACAAAAAATAATAGCAGTCAACCAATATCCTTAAATCTTTATTAACGTTTACTTTAGAAAAGTCTGTGGCTCAGATTGCTTTGCGGTGGACCCTTCAGAAAGATGTTGTGGCCTCTGTTATAACTGGTGTCACATCAATCAAACAATATGGCCGTTGGTAAAGGTTGGAGTTTAACAAAAGAAGAGGTAAAAATGATTTGTTTTATACTTTAAAATTGACATTAAACATGCAAGATTTCTTGTGCATGTCTTATTTGAAGTCAAACTCAATTCATGGTTGTTACTTATTCTGCTTTGAATTCTTCTCTACTTTTGCTTTTTATATTGATAGGGCAGATATCAGAACAATAGGTATTCAAGCCTTAAAGTAAAAATGAACAAACGCTTATATCAATAGCTGTAGATCTAATCCTTATATACAAAACTGAATCTCAAAGAAAATCTTCCAATTTCTTAAAACTTTTTTTTTTACATATACATATAGTATTCATTTATTCAGGAAACACGTTTAAATAAAAGATGTCAATTTTTAAGGCTACGCCAATAGGTGGTTTTTCGAATTTTTAGGAAATTTGTATGCATTCAGATATCGTTGAACTATATCTAAATATCGAAAAAAAAATATATATATAACTTTCATGTTTTTTTTTTTTGTATGGTGTTTGCATTTCTATGTATATATTATCAAACGCAAGTAACCAGAGCGAATGAGTCAAACAGATTCGAAAAGATTAAACTGGTTTGATCGCTTGTGTGTTGTTCGTTGTTGTTGCCTTTTTATACTCCTGGACTTTATTTTTCGGAGGAGTCGACTCTTGGTGATTGGTATGGTCGGTTATGATGTTCAGTATTTTAAGTTATTCCTGTTTTCCATTTTGCAAATGATATTATGTCGGTCGTCGATAATTAACATCTGTATGATTGAAATCCTATTTGATGTTTCATTATTTCTGGCTTAATTGGTTAATGAATTAGCTTCTATTACTATTTTCCCATAACTATCATTTTTATTTATTTGGTAGCACATGCAGATATAGAGTTCGATATTCTCATTATAATTTTGTGCATTTTAGATGGAGAAATTAGACCAGATTTCTTTACCAGATGATATACCTTACCTGTATGAAATGTCATGGAGATCCAATTCTACCCGAGTCAACAGATACAATCCGAGACCATTTACAGCAAACGTGTATTGACATTTCGGACTTTAGTTCTTGACATGCAAAGTGCTTAGAGGAAATACATATGTATATATATATATATATGATTATCTTTTGAATTTTATAGCATTAGTTTGGTATCTCAAATTATAACACTAATTATTTTGGTTTGAACAATGATATAAAACAAATAAATGCTAGATGTATGTAGGACTCAGATCGACGACCGGTCTCTAATCGACGCCCGTTCCTCAAATCGACGTCCAAATCTGACGTTACTATAGGAGTAAACGCCTTTTTAAAGGAATTTATTGGTGTATAAACTCGACCAATTCACTCACAAACAAATAAAAGTCCGAATGTTTGTGAGTGACTTGGTCCAGTTTATACACCAATAAATTCCTTTAAAAATGCGTTTAATCCTTATAATTCTTTAAAATCGGAGATAAGGAATTTATTTTTCCACACTCGTAACCTCTATCACACGTAAGTTTTATATTTGTGTCATTGAATTGGCCTAGTGTATGAATATATTTTTTGGTTAACACAAAAATATGTACTACTTGAAATTTGCTATCTGAAAAAAAAACTAACTACAAAAACTCTTATTATCATTCAAATGAATGTTTTGTGTTTATTGTTTAATTTAACGATTAAAGCAAAATGAAAATAAATATTTTAACGTCGAGCCAGATTTGTTATTATCGCCGCCATCTTGTTTATATTGGTTACAAAAAGAAGTTCGGTCAACGTCGTCTATCGAAAAATAAACAACGTCAAAAACAACTACCGGAAGTCCTCTCGACCAATCATATCAACGTTTTCTCTAATATGCAAATCATATGAGAATTATAATAAAATAACATTCAAAATCGACGGCTTTTATGCCCCTCTTAATCGACGTCTTTTTGTTGTTCTCAAATCAACGTTCAAGTTTTGACTTCTCTTATCGACGTCCGTTTTATGGACTTGTCGCAGTGATATCACAACTTTATTAAAGAGTGGGTTGAACCTAAAACTCAAAAAAGTATTGAAAAATATAAGTCCAAATAATAATACTTTTCAACAATTGGCTGTAAGTTTTTATTCTTTCTATTGTATGAGTCTGTAAAATGCCCTCTAGATGTCTTTGAATATCTTTGTTTTTATGTTGTTGTTTTATTGTCGTACAATGTATACCCACGTGTTATTTAGTTATATGAAAAAGAAAGGAAAACGACAACGTAGGTCGAGAATATGAACGGCTTTCGTCAAAATATTAATATGCATGTACATGTTATAGTAATATGATGTTGGTGATTGTATTATTGTCATTTTCTAATGATTGTCCTTTTATTTTGATAACAATTTAAGAAAACAGTTATAGTTTCTGTTAGCTACTATACAAAAAGACAAAACGATAGAGATAATATAAACAAAGATAAATTTAAAAAAAAAATGATTGAATGAAATTAAACATCGCGATAAGAGTCTCCTCATCGATCGGACGTCGTTTTTGTGATTCCTTTTAATATGTCCATATAATTAGTACAAAATATGTTTGACACATGCGCACAAACTTACTGTTTACATTTTCGTTATTTTCATTTTGATCGTAATGAAATATATATATTTTGGCTGTTTACATAAAATTTTATTATTTATTGTTATTAAAACATCGTGTATTTACCCTGCTACTAGTTTTTGAACTTATTAATATGAAAATGTAATGTACATGATTCATAAGGTGTAAACGGGAACAGCCAAACATTCCTAAGGCATTTTCGTACGATTAGACCGATAAAAATACCGTTTTTGTCCTAATAGAATCGAATTAATTCCTTCATGTCATGCTCTATGCTCATTTCAAAATGGGTAGGCATTATATTTGACTATATTTTACACCTCGCTAACGCTCAGTGTAAAATATCGACAAATATAATGCCTATCCATGTTAAAATGAGCATAGAACATGACATGAATGAATTATTTCATAATTACGTCACATTGGACGTCAATTAGAGGGTTAAAATATTGGACACTGATTTGAGAACGTGACGTCGTATTTGGACGTCGATTTGAGGAACGGACGTCGATGAGGTCGGACGTCGATCTGAGTCTAACATATATATTAGGAAAGAAGGATTTAGATGTGAGTTATATATATTTATGTTGATAATAAATACATTTTAATATTTACTGTTGAGAGTGGAGAAATATCGTAATACACGAATTATAGTGTTGGAATCTGTTTCTCTGATGATTTTAAGAGATTTCTAAACAAAGTTTATCCTACCTTTGCAAAGATTTGCAGAAAGTTGTGTTCTTTTTATGTGACGTCATCAGGCATGGTCGCCGTTTTAGCTCACTTGACAGAAAGGCCAAGTGAGCTTTTCTCTGAACCATTACTCTGAAACCATTGAGCCAAATTTTACCAAAATTTGCTTAAATTATAATTAGGGTATTTAGTTTTAAAAATGTGTACGATGACTCCGTCTGCCAACCAAGATGACCGACATGGCTAAAATAGAACATAGGGGTAAAATGCAAGTTTT